AGAATGATAACGCTTTTTATGAATACGTTTTGAATGGAAGTTTACAAGTGAATTGACGGTTTTGAGCCTATTAATGATGAATGGCTGGATTTGCAGATCAGTTGTGGTCGGAACACTGTGCGCCTATGCACAACCGTGGAGCCAGGGATAGTTTAAGTTTGCTTCAAAATAGTGTTCCCAAAAACGAATAACGAGTTTTGGACTGCACAGCTTCTGCTTCAGTCTACCCTAACTCTAATATATGAGTTAGTTCGGGTCACAAGAAAGGGCTGATTAGCACTGTTTATGGGTTTGTAATGCTAACTTTGCTGTGTGAACCAAGTACACGGGCAGTATCATATAAATCCTGGTTGCCATGCCTTACCACAAGCACGTGTTTGCACTTTTAGATAGGCGATCATCTTCTCGGACAACTTGAACCATTGATCGATCGGCCCAAGTGTCGAGACTTTCAGTTCAGTAGGATTAAACCCTGATGGAGCATTGCCCCTGGTTAAAAAAGGGAAATTATTTCGTCCATCACGTTGGATCGATAAGTTTTTAGGTTACCGTACTTAAGCCCACAAAATCGTATATTAATCTCCGTAAATCCTATTGGAATCCGGTTGGTGACACGCTTCGAAGAATAGCTGTAACCAAACGCAAGTTTTAAAACTGTGTCGGTCGAAAGAGGCGGTTAATATCTACTCATCGTTGCATTGTTAGGTTCCGGAGAGTCAATTTGCAGCTTACTGAGCCGATAATACTAGATAATTGGAAGCTGATCCAACGGTATTAGTGGAGGCTTTGACGGCCAGGTTCCCACTAATTTGGTCAGCCCACATTCTTCTTTCTGCTTACTGAGCTCTCAGAGTAATTACCATAATCAGTCATCACGGCAGCAGAAGAAATTAATCTTTCTTTCCGGATGGCTTGCGGTTGGTTCACCTATTGGTGGCTGCAGAGAGTGTGTAGGATCAAGACGACTTAGCAATCTATTTGTGTGGTAAGTTACCAGAATAAAATGGCACATTTGTCTGTTTTGTGCAGAGTTTTCCTTCAGTTCATCAAATTACAATGTCGGAAGTTTTCTTGATCAAAATACATTACGTGGTCTTTTTGATGATGCGGCACAAGAGGATTTTTGTCAATAACTCAGACGTTTCCATACCAGTATTATCCTATGCTTTGTGGCGAAGCAATGGGTGAGGAAGCCGTAATGTCACTTTACGTGAGCTAGTGGCCGCCTGTAGTTCTTACCGACTAATCCTTAGTTCGACGACGCATAGAAAAGTTAGAGCTTGACTAATGTTGTATTTACCCACGAATTAAAATGAAGTTTAGTTTGAGACAGGTAATTTGGATTCTAACGCTCAATATATATGGTGATCAACGCAAGCCTTAGCACGCTCCGTAAATGAAAGATGTTCACCCTAAGACAGTCTGCAATAAATCCCAACAAAAACTAGACTGACCAGCTCTGGAATGCTGAAAATGTGAGAAGTCGAGTTATAAGTGATGAACTACCGAGCAACTACTTCGATATAACAAACAACTGAATGCTGGGCTACACTATGCACGGCAAATCTATTCGAAAAATAGTGCAAACAAGGAATTCAATTGTGAATCACTTTCACCTACTGTCAAAGGCATTTGAATTTCTAAACAAATGTTTATCTGGATACGATAAGTCATCCGATTCATGAAAATATCAGACACGAATGCAGGGTGATATGATAAAACTGCTCAAGCACACTTGGGTAAACCTTCATTAACGAGCATATGAGCACCATTCACTGGAACATCACAAAGCTGACTCAAACCCAGCGGAGGCATAAGGTTGCTAAAAACTCTTCGCATTTGCTCTTCTAAGCGCTCATCAGATAGACTCCGTCCCCAAGTTTCCCACAACCTCATGTTCTACTTGAAACCAAATTACACGAACTTAGCAAAATACACTCATTTGCAAACAAATTTAGTTTTGCGGGAAACTCACCTGGATGTGATGTTCTGTGATGTTCTTAGGTAACTAGATTGCTGCGCCAGGCCGCCACATGTTTCAGTTGGTACGATATTCGAGATATGGCGATACATGTATAATCGTAATTCACTATTATAAGGTTGCTGAAAATTCTTCGATATGTATCGCGATGTCTCAAATATCGTACCTACTGAAACATGAGGCGTCCTGATGAAATACATTCAGTTGCTTGAGAACACCATAGACGAGGGATTTAGCTGTGTTCCATGTCGGTTTCCCGCAAAACCAAATTTTTTTTGCAAATGAGCACATTTCCCAGTGGAGACAGTTGCTACACTGCCATCATCACACGTCATTTGTTTTTCATTACTCAGACGACTTAGCTTTTGGGGATCCCTCTGTGTGCTCCTAATTTTGCAGCACAAATCAGTGCCAAACATTTGGCACCTGCCTTCGCTTCAAAATCAGTAAAACAAAAATCTCATTGGTAACATTCCCAGTGAAATAGGATAACTTTGTTTCCTGTGAAAAGCCTTTGTTTGCTTTTTTACCAGATAATATTTATAAGGAGATATCCCGAAATGTAACAAAGTATAAGCAACTGTAATCGTGTAAACAAATTGTTTTAGAACAGTAGGAACTGACTGAAAGGAAAGTTAGCGATATCCTTCCCCCGTAGCCGGAAATATATGTGTGTGAAGCAAGAAGCTCGTCAGCCCACAACGCAGTCTCAAGCGGATCAAAATTCACTGGTCAAATATCCATCTGTGGTCAGTTGGAATCCAACTGACATGCGTGTGAATCTACCTCGTGAATGATTGGTTGGCCAGGTAGGTGCTAGCAGCTGTATGAATCGCAATTTTTAGGCGGGTGAATAAATGAAATAAAGCTTATTTTGTGACCTGATGCGCTTCGGTATTTCGCCCGTAACTCCTAGGTTGGCGTGAAGCTTGTTTCCTAACAAACTTGATGTCTTGCGACCAATAAATGAACCAAAACTAAAATGTAGACGCTATGCTAATGTCGTCGGTAGAAGCTAATTAAGAGGTAATAGTTATCCGTTGGGACAACTGTCTGGCTGCCCGACATAAAACGGTCATTTCTAAAGAGCAAACACGTTGACACCCGTACACTTATGTGGTCTGTGGAAGCTGTCTGTCTATCACATTTTGTCTGATTACAAAAAAGCCTGTAGAGGGCACAGCTGGGCAGATTATAAAGAAGGTTCTCTTTTTTTTCCTTTGAGTCTTAACAAATATCTTGATGGTTGGGTCACCGTTAAAACCTACATTTAAGTAAACTCGTTGTTGAAGCCGGAATAAATCATTTGCGCACTCTGGGTTTAGTTTCATACAAGGTGTTTGGCTGGATGTTCATTTTACTTGAATAAGTACTGCAGCCTAATTTCTAGAGCCTTGGATAACCGAGTATTTATCAGTCCATCCAAACGGTAATGAGATTTCATTTTTAAATTCCTCGAAGCTGGAGAAATATTTACACTACTCAGTCAATTTTGGTTGTAATGATGCAGTTCGTCATATGTTCTCCTTATATATTCTATATAGTTTGTCTCGCAAACATGCATGCAGGTATGTGTATCTTTGGAACCTTTTTCCATCTGAGCTCAGGTAAAACATAAATTTGACGGAAAATTAGCGACTGCGTCTATATAATGAGCCCCAAGAAGGCTATAATGTTATAGGCGATGAGAAACGTTTGATTTTTGGCATAGTCAATAGAACTAGGTGAGTAGTAGGTTTGTTATAGTATTCCTAAAGTCTATTGCTAGTATTTTCCATGCCGTTTATCATATCGTTTGGCTTATATGGAGAAAAGTAGAAAAAATATGCCTTCATAACATCGAAGCAAAAGTTACTGGATACGTTAGTCGATACTAACGTCAACCTGGTAGCCAAAATATATTTTGTGTTACGCGGTGAATCTTTTTAAGTATTGTTCCTGTTCCACAACTTCCCTTACCCGCATTTCATTTGGATAAAAAGATGGGGGCTGGGTGGGGATTTTTGTTACCTGGACGTCAGTCTATGCACAGACATAAAACATCATATCTCCTAACTTACTACTAAAGACAGAGTTTGTAAATACGGTCGTGTGTCGCTTTGCTTGTCTACGAACCTGCTCTGAAACGGGCAGGTCATAAAACAATCATCAGCCTTGTGTCTATGTGGCGGAAGTAAAACAAGGATTTGACAGATTTGGAATTCGGCTAGTCAACTACCAAGTCTTTGATCAATAATCTAGGATTATGTGCTCCAGACTTTGGACGACGCCCAGTTGTTGCGTGCCAAACCCCTGTCTTCCTCATATAATACGCGTTCCGCGTTAAGATCTGTCGACATATCTCTTTTAAATGACATTATTTACCCACTATTTTCAGGGGATTACATTGCTTTGGGACTCGTTTAGTGGGATGAGTTTCTCTACTCAAACCTTCCATAATAGTAACATACTGTAGTGCAAATTTACTGTCTATTCTTCTTTACAACGTAACAGTTAGAAATAGTTGCCAACCTTTCTTGTGACATTACGTGCTGACTTGTCAACTACCCATCGTACACAAAACCCTGATAACGTTGTTGTAAAGCGTAACAGCTCTACTGTAGCCTCATATTTACCGGGTAAAAAAGCAGCTTCTGTTTATTTTGCCATTCATGAGACGTATATACTTGCAGAATAAGGAAGTGCATTACCCCCGAACAGTAAGGGGCCAAAAGATTGTGGTGTATGCTGGGTGGTTTACGCCAACAATCTGTAGCGGAATTTAGAGCCCAGCTGTTATTTAACTGATAAAATTTGGTGAAATACTGCTGACGAATAGGATACTTTGATCTGCCGTGTACCTTAAGCATCAACGGATCCGATTTAGTAGTTACTTTAGCTTAAACCCAGCTCCACCCGCTCTGTTTGGAGTCATTTCACCAAAAAAAAGGCATAAATGACGAAATGTTGGTACCTTTACTTTTGTTAACCGTCACATAAACATACATCTGTAGAGGGCTGGCCCAGTAATACTACTTACGAGACAATGAACAAATATACGCACAGAAGTCAGTGTTGGATCATGCCCGAGGTAGTCACACGCTGTATACCGTGAACTTTTGTGAAGTTTAGGGGACTGAACCGGATCAGAAGTAGAGTGATTAGGAGTGTATAAATTTAAGGCTGAATAAGAAACAAATGTGTTGGAGGAATCATCCCACGGACGGATAGATTCGGAAGAGGGAGTGTGTTGTTCCTCAATAAGGTCCTCTGATTGGTGGCTTCCACAAAAGTAACTGAGATGAGGTTCGCTTTTCATGTCATCTATTTCTTCATTTTGCGTAGTCTGTGGGCACAGAAAACCGGAGTCTAACCCACAGAGCAGATTGACACTGCAAGAAGAACCTGAGAGAAATCATGGCACACACAACAATGCTCCGCAGCCTCAAAATCATTGAGAGGCAGTCCATTTGGTAATCAAGCTGTTATTTACGCAGATAAATCAGCTGATATGGGCTAATTTTTCCAAGAAAATTTGCGCACTCGAAATCCATGGCAACTAATCAACCACCCGCAACCTAGTGATCCTGATCTGGTTCACTACCCCAAGCCTATATGGACAAAAGTCTCTGAAATTCAGTGTGTGCCCACCTCGGACTTAAGCGTTCACAGGTTTCTGTGTAACATCGTTCCTCATCGTTAAAACCCTGCTGCTAAGCCAAGCTACAACAAATGCAATTGGCAACTGGTGAAAGTTGAAGAAATGTCAGTAATTTGCCAGTTACGCTTTTCTGCTGTCTTGGAGCAACGGATCAAAAAGACTCAGTTGTTACAGTCAGTAGAATGACAAATAATACATAAACTAAGAAACTAAAACTCTGACAGACAACTTGCTGTTGGTGGCAGAATTCAAGACCTTTGGCGGGCAAGTGAGACCTCCTGTTATAAAACCTGGTGTCAATACTTTTGTGCAACAATCGTTCCTTAAGGCCAACCGGGACGCCTTATCTCGGGAGTCTAATAAACCGGTCACTGGTCAAAAGTGACAAATACAATATCAGTTTTGAATCAAATAAACTGTGTTAAGCTGCAAGCGCTCTTTGTACATTGTTCGTTTCACTGCTCTACTGATGTTAGTTGGCCTACTTGGTATTAATTTTCCACAGATATATTTAAATACGAAACTGCTAACTTTTACTGACTACTCTACTCTGAGTGAATGGAAGTAACGCGTAGTTTGTAAGTGCCGTGCTGCATAAGTGCCAGCTAGTCGAAATTGAGGACATCCTGCTTGGTCCAAACCTCACCCACCTGGTGCTGTCATACAATATGAAACCCGGTTCCCATTTTTATTTCAATCACCCTGACGAGTGATTTATGACAGGATACAATCCCTCTCCACTTTCCTTACGTGTCTTTTTTATTTTTTTGTAAGGACTGTGACGGTGACACTCCTTTGCACGACGCCATTGCCGGACAAAATGCGCGTCTGGTTGAATTGCTGTTACGACACAATGCTGATCTGACAATAACCAACAATTCCGGCCAGAATCCATTACATTATGCCACCGTGTTGGGCGAAGTCAAGTGAGTTTCCAGTCTGGGCGGATTGGGTTTTTTCGCACGTCATTTTGTTACCAGGATTTTACCCTTAAATTTTTGGATGCCTGGCCTTCAACAGTAGAGGAAAGACGGTTGCCAAAGCATATTTTGGCTTACTGATCTACAGTGATAGAATTAGCAATTCATCTTTATTTCTACTAATCTCTTGCCCTATCTTGAATCATGTAAACTAAGCACTGCTGGTGGGTCTCTTCAGTTTGAGTATCAGTAGGATAAAATGTTAAATGATGCGTGGTTCGGCGTTGAACTTCAAACGGACTTCGTCGCTTGAATAGTAGGCCTTTACCACCATTGTATATGTCATGTTTTCTGGGAGTTCGCAAGTGTGGTGAAGCTAAACTGATGCCTTTGAGACTTATCAAAGTCGTCAGCTCCGAAACGGTGTATGGTTTTCTGGATAAAGACAATTTGAGCAGTCACCATTCCACATATGTAAGTTTCTTCCCTTACACCGGTATGTTTCACAGACTTCACTACTCACTAAAAACTTTCACCTAATGATCTTCCATTCACTCTTCGCTAGCCAATAATGGCCACGATAGAGGTCCTCAATTGGAAATTTTGTAGGACATTGGTATTTGGCTGGTTTTTCCCCTACGCCTCTGATACAAAGGAACTGGAGTTTTAGAAGGCTCGGTCTTCAAGGGCCTGCATCAAAAAACCTTATTCTTCACCACTTTTGAAGGTTTTTATTTCACTGCGAAAGTTTTTCCAGACTTCTGTAATTGTGGTAGTTCCGACTGGCAGTAATATCCTTGGTTTAAGAGTGCCACAAATGAAAGACATTCATCAAATTCACTCCAATGCATAATGATTAAGTTTTGTCCACGAGAACATCAGCTGAATTTTAGCTAAATCTCTTGTTCGCAATGCTGTTTAACTGAATATGCTGCATAAAGATCCCCTCAGTTGATACTGTAGTTGGAATATCTTAGTACGTTTCCTTGAAAGAACACTACTTATAGGGCTGTTGCCAAAAAGGTCCCAACAACTCTTTTGTGTTGACCCTTTAGAAAAGGACAAATTTATTTAGCGCCCAATTAACCCGTCTTTTGACATCAGAAAGTCGGATACTATACAGGGCATTAAGTTAAGTCAGTAAGGATGTGACTGATTACTCTATCCTTTCTTTTGTCACTCTGCATTTGTGTACTATTGTTTGTTGTACGGAAGCTAATTTGTGTATAATTTCTGAGCATTTGTCAAAATCTCTTTACTGTGAACCTTGGGCGATGCGTTTGTGGAATGCTCATCAAATGGTTGCTTCACCTGGATGGAGTCCGTAAGGGTTACTTTAGAAAATGAAATCAGTCTGGATTGAACTTTTCATCAGCGCAAAATATATACTTGCCCCCCCCTGGAAATCAAACTGAAATGTTTGAATTTAGTTATCCTACAGCACTGTTCTGACAGCTGCGTTGACAAAAAGCGTTCTAGTAGAAGTTTGAATTCCAACAAAACCACAATATTTCAGACATCAAGTTAGAAATTGTAACCTATCATGGTTTCATGAAGTTTTTTGGAAAACGCTTTGCCTATTTTCGGATAGATAATGGGCAAAACATCACGTATATAAATGTGTGCCTATTGTCGATGGACGCTTAGTAAGACAGCGACTTATGTTAAGGGTACCCCTTGTTTATAATTTTCTTCCATTCTTATGATGTACAACGTGATTTCTAGTTTGTCGTTTCCTTTTTGCGCCTATACCGCCTTTCTTGTTTCGACCTGAACTTAACCCCCTCTCTGACCTTGTCATTGCACATCGCAGCACAACACGTGGCCATTTTACCTTGAGTCAGTGGGAACTTTGGGATCCCGTTTAGAATTAGCACTCCTTAAACTGTTGCATATAAGCCGGCGAAATTTCACGGTCTGAGGTTTGTACAGTATTGTTATTTTCTTCATAGTGCCGCATTTTTCGTTAAACCTCTGTTTGAACGATTTGACTTTTGGGATTTTGCGCGTACCTCAAAGTTGACCGGCTGGTTTCCGGAAACATTCAATACCCGACTTCCCTAAACTAAGAAATTCCTCAATTTTAGATGTCTGTCCATTTAGCCTTCCGGTTTCACCAATACTGTCTAGAAGTACGGTAGCGGCTCCTTGAGGATGAGTTGTGAAGAGATTGTCTTGTTCGGATAGACGATGATTGTGAACTTCGTCACACTAATCAGTTTAGCTTTAGTGTCAGCCTATTTTTGCTTGCCCTGCGCGTCCGAGTTTCCAAGAGGTGTAATTCTTTTTCATTCTCTGGGAGCTCCGAACAGCGAAGTATTCAGGTTACATTGGGTTGACTCGTGAGATGGGTATGTGAGAGCGACTCTGTATGCCAGTGTGAGGCCGTGAAAAGATAAACCTCAAGTTTTGGACAGCATGAAATAATCTACCATCAAACGGCTGGCCACAGAAAAATTCCACCTGCTCTCAAAAACCGTTATTTTCCTCGTTGAGTTCATTGGATGCTATAATATGCAACAAATAAATCTCAATAAAACTTGATACTCGCTATGACTGGTTATTGCTCAGGCCGTATTATTCCCGGTGCTGTCTAAAAATCCTAACCTGAAAGGAACAGAAATGGTCCATTTCGTTACCCCTAGTTGCGCAGCAAACTGGAGGTATTTTTGTCATGTTTGTTGCCGTCGCCCAGGTTTGTCCCGTCGAAATTGTCTGCCGCTTCGGCCGTCGCACCAGCCTCCCTTCTACAATCCTCACACCACCATTTCCAACCTGTTTCCTCATTTGCATGTTTGTCAAGAAAGTCCAGTTTTTATTCGATCAAGAGAGAACGAATACCCTAATTCAATCAAATCAATTTTCTCCGCTAGCGCCCTCTCATCTAATTGCTTATTTCCCTGCGAATGCAGGCGATGGAATTGTTTGTGGACAATGTTTCCTACTCACTGGTATGATACAGGTTGATTGAATTATATCTGTACGTGGCGCTACAATTTTTGTGCACGTCACTTCCAATATTTCCGTGTACAACAGGAGTTCGATGTATTCCGGAACTCCACTGAATGTGTTGCGAATAATGACCCCTCTTCTCAGTTTATCCGCCGGCTTATTTCCTCCGAATCTAAGCACAGTATAAAGCTCTTATAAAGGCAGTAACTGAGGCTTTTGCTTTCAGACAATTTTATATGATCACAGTTACTAGTACCTTAGCTGGGCATTCTTGGAAATGACAAAAAGTTTCATTGGAAAATCATGTATATCCTGCAGAGCTGCAATTGATCAACCGTTAAAATCCTAAAAACATGTTTTAACAGCACCGCTAGTCGGCAGGCCCAGAGGTTTTCTGAAAACAATCTGATTTGATCATAAGGCGAGCTAGATTGTTCACTTTTAGATAAAGGCACCAGGTCTGCGTTTTGTAAAATCTACTTTGATGATTTAGGCGCATTCTGAGCATTTAGAATATTAGAAACGCTTTTAATGGCTTCATGTTCAAACTTAAAATCTATATCGTATAACTTTTGATTATTGTAAATGCGATATAATGAAAGCGTTTTCAGTATGAATAGAACACGCAAGAAACTTACACGAACGCTGGATTGTTCTCAAGGTGGGTGCTTTATATCCGTTCGAATTTTTGAAGGTCTGTACATCTTTGAAAAGCGATTTCGTTGATCTTATATTGAGATCAAACAATGAACCGGGAGAAACCTAAGCATACAGGCAAAGCATAAAAATTACTTTTACCCACTATACTATGTGACGAGCACTAACGTCAGTATAACTTCTGATTATCATGAAAATGGGACATTTCATCGATCGTTAGGCATGCAACCAAGCGGAAGTATCGAATTACTCTTCAAGCATTGTTCTAGATGATGGCTAGATGTGGAATCAACCACCATTTTCGAAAGACTGGTCATTCGCCGAGCCGAGCAGTTTGATTGCGAAGGTTTCATCACCAGTAGAAGTGGCATCTCACCAGTGCGCTGTTAGGGAGCGAATTGTAGCATATTGGTAGGTCAGTGTTTGTGGAGTTGGTTTGCGAGCAGGGAGGGAGTGCGTGATCAGGGAGTGGGACCATGAATGCTTTCGGCTGACCTTTCGAACAACCACATTCGTTCACTATCCTGAGGTTTGTTACTCTGTTTTAGTTTTGAGCATTGCCTCACGTACGGAGGATGTGGGATTTTTCTATATTGATCAGATAATTTTCCATGTGGTTATTTAAACCATCTGAACATGTATAATGTGTGAAGCTCAGTTTCGAAGGGTAATACAATTCATTTTTGTACCAAGAATAAATTAAGGCAAGTAGCCTGGGGTCATCAAATGAGCTGAACCATTTTACATTCCAATGAGTCATATAGTCCGTACTTGAGGAGACGGTCGGCACCTGTGACCTCGCGATGTGGACCCCGTGATTGAAAGAAAGGCGGCTCTGTATCCTGTCTAAGTGCAAGTAAATCAAATGGCTCATCAGCTGCTCGTGGCCGAGTGGTCAAGTGTCCAAACTTCTAGCCATGAATTCGCGAGCTTGAGACTCTCCGGAGTTTGGTGAGATGCTTGCTGCTGCTGATTCCCAATAAGAATGAAACAGTTGTACAGTGCCCCTCGGGTTTTCAGCAAAGATTGGCTTTACTTAAAGGATGAAATCTCCACAAATACCAACCATCATTTCACCTCATTCACAATGAGCTGCACACTGTTGTCTCATTATTTTTTTTAAATATGAAATCTCCTGATCGTCGTGTTATTCCATGGAGTTAGTCCATTTTTATGCTTATATAGTGCAAATGTCGAGTGAAATAGTGTAAAACGGGAAAATGCATCTAAGTTGTTTTTTTTGTGACGAGAGAGTTTGCCTAGGGAAACTCGTATTGGTTTTTAGCCTAGTATAAAGGATCGCAGACCTTTTCTACTGTTTAATATAAATGGTGTGACGTACTAGATACCTGCGGTAGACTGACGTGACTCAAGTATACCAAACATAAACGGATTAGTTGGAACCAACTAATTAGACCCTATGTAATTTACGTTCTAAGTACTTCCACATCTGGTAAACCTATACATAGCTTTTTCACGGCCATGTTAGTAGGTACTGATATCACTAGCTCTGAGGGCATCTCTTCTCCTATTTTCAGTATAAGTGGTTTTTATTTCTTTGAACTACTTTACTTTTCAAAGAATGGTTTTAGATCAGCTCTCCTCTCAGACAAAGTTAATCTGGCTTATTCAATTATCCATGGGAATTTAAACGGACCTTGAGGGAATTAACAGTTATTTGTCCCATTAAATTTCATCGGCCCGATAAGCGCTACTACTCAACCGACCAGGAAGATGCATATGCTTTGGAAGGGTCATAAATGGCTTTTAGAGTTGCAAATTAAAGGAAAAACACAAATGTCAGTTGAGTGCAGAAGTGCGAATAAGGTAATTAAGAAACCAAAAGAGTGAAGAGTAGTCGGATGACAAGAATGTTGCTTGTTCTTTGATTGTTGACCAAGTTGGTTGATATTCGGAGTTGCGTAGTAATTATTCCACGGTCCATTATACTGATTAAATATGGATTCAAAGCTCACCCGACTGTACCTCCATGTTGTTTGTTTGAGAGTTGTATGTATATGGCAAGACAAAACAGAACGATTTCAAACTGATACTAATCCCTCATTTGCGAAAAAAATTTGGTTTTTCGAAAGACTTACCTGGGACTCAGCTGGATCTCCAGTTTATGGCGTTCACGGTTGACGGAAACTCGGGGATTGCGCCTACCTGATAAGCTCAAAAAAGGGTAAAACCGGTAGTGGGCTGTCGTCTGTGGTAGTAATCCCGTTTTCACTTTTTTTCGGCTAGAGGTGCCGCAAAAATTTTGTTTGTGCAATAATATGGGTGAATGTTTCACCCAAGAGACTGAAAAGGTCTTCGCTCACTCACTTTATCAATGTATTTAAATATTCACGCTACTGCTTCCTTCAGTCAGCTTCCTCGAAACGCCTGAAGCCCACCTCTCTGAATAAGTAGCAATAAACCATTTCGTAAGCAGGTTAAACCTCAAGTAATTTTTTCTCTCAGTTGTTCAGCATTGCAGAATTCAATACGCCAGCAGTGGAAAATTGAGCTTGACTGTCATACAAGGGTGGTGGATGACGAACCTGTTGCAAGTTGAGGAGAATGAGAGGTGTGGAGAGCACTGTAAAGCCCCTAGTTCCTTGATAACACGGCTGAGAAAGAGGTATCCACAGCTTTCAAGATCACTGATCTAAAATTTCTGAGCGCCACGATGGAGAGAGACGCCGTTAGCCTGACCGACTCAGGGTTCTTTGATTCGCTCCATCCAACATATGCTCAGTGCACAAAAACAGTCAAGCGTTAGCAAGGCCGTCAGGTTAAGAGTAACGGCAAGGTGGCCACATGGATCGGATTCCTGACATGACCTGTAGAGCTTCCAGCCAAGCGCAAGGAGAAAAAAGGACACAAGCCACAGAAGTGCGTCCGCAATACACAAAATTACCGTTGTTAGGTAAAACCTAGTAAATTATTCAACAAGAATCCCGCTTTAAATAACAAGGATGGCATATTCATCACTTGTTGCGAGTGGTTTTGACGGAGTGCTGTTTTGACTGTGGTAGCTGTTGAGGGTTTCTAAGTATAATGTTATGCAAAGGCAAAATACCAAGAATTTCAGATAAAGTTTATCGATTTGATATTTTATTCTGTCATACGGTACATAATCCCAAGGACTTTGTCGGCGCTGCACTGCAAAGCCTGATATAGTACATCCGACATGTATAGGTTTTTGTCTTGCCAGTACAATAGACTCTTTTGCCGGGGATAATTCACATATATATTTTTTGTGAGCGTTCGCATTGAAATCCTCAAAGGGCAATGGTTCATTTGAGGCTGCCTTAAGATCTCTTGATATCTTGTTATGTGTTACATAATAAATAACATTTGATTGTAAATGAGTTTGGAATGAACCGAATACCGTTTGCTGCCGGTGGCTTTACATCGCTGCATCACATGTGACCGAACGTTGGACAAATAAACGGAAACGGTTGCATGACTTGCGTTTCTCATTCTCAGATTCTGTAGCGATCAAACCACGGAAGAGTGATATTTTCGGTCGGATAGACTCGGTCAGATAAATTAGCTCTACCTTGAGCTGCGAGTCGATCTCTCCAGGGTCATATATTCGAACAGAAAAATAAAAAAACCACCCAGGCATTGCTTCCAAATTGTGACTTTTCCTGAATGCAGTGTGTTCTGTATCTCGCGGTGTGATCTAAAGTCGAATGGATTAATGTGTTCTACTGTTCCACAGCATGCAGTCTGAGACTCTCAGTCTAGTGTGAAAAAAACCAGCTTTAATGATGTATTAGGTGGGGTAATAGTTTGGTACATTGAATTTAGTGACAAATGCAGGTTGGAATGCTTGTTCAGCTATTGAAGGTAACTGCCTAACCCGTCGGTTTTTCATGGTTGAACAATCAACAAAGACAACTGGAAGATTTCCAAGTGTTTACCTGGAAGACAAATCCTAAAAACTGGGGAAATTTACCGTTTATTTACACTGAAACAGAAAAATTACTTTTTGTAATGCACTACTCATAAGGCTGCTGAAAACCCCTCGACGGCCCACGACCGTTTTTGCTCGTCTTTGGGCTCATCAAACAGGCGCAGTCCCCGAGTTTCCGTCAACTTTGTATTCTACTTGAAACCAAATCACGCAAAATTAGCGAACATACACTCATTTGCAAACAAATTTGGTTTTTCAAGAGGCTCACCTGGAACCCAGCTGAATCTCGCGGTTTTGATGTCTCCAGGCAACTGGATGTGCTGCACCAGGCCACCCCATTATTTTAAAAAATTACTCCAAAACTGGATGTCCAGTTTAAGGGTATATGCAACACTGATAAAAATAAATCATGGAAAACCCACAGTTGACCTCGGTTATTTTGAGGTTAGCAAGCAAAACAAGCAACGTTTTCATGTTTCACGAAGGGAGGATTGAGTCCACTTCGTTTCGTGTCATCCAAAGTGTATTATTGGCCAGAATGAATCCATTGTGAAAGTATGGGCATGAAACAACAACGTTCCCCTAGGCCTCCGAACTTGCCCAGGTATTTTATATGACTGTTATGTTATTGGAACACATAGTGATGGCATTCTCCCTAGAGGCCAAAAGAGAGCTTCGACGTGACAAGCAACATGAATTAAGCAAAGAGCTGAAACATTTTAGAGACAAGAAATTGCAGATGGCGTTTTTTTATCCGAGTGTGTTCAGGACCTACACACCAGGTGTACTTGGTCAGTACTTTGGAGAACTACGGTTGAGAACTCTTAGAAGTCGAGAATTCACCCTGAGACCTTCTTAAATTTGTCGTACTTGAAACTGAACTTAAACGTAATCATCTTGTCAATGTTTACCCTGCTTTTGGAAGTAAGTTCAGAGGTTCTAATTTTCGTTTTCAAAATATGCTACACCATGAATAGAGTAGCTGCATTTTTGGTGTGCTTAAGGCGTGCAACAATAATTTCCTTCTCACCTTCCTCATCCCCATGTACGTTGAAGTGACTGTGTGAACGATACACACGTGGTTAGTCATCGCAGCGGTCGGAGGTTCAAGGCTACTGAGTATGGTCTACAGACTTGAAGCGGATGATACCGCAGTGACAAGCAGTCCGTTAAGAGCCTGGACAAATGCGAATTTGTCCTGAGAACATGTCCCCTTGTTCGACCACTAGGAGATTACCAGAGTGATACGAACTTCCACCACCAGCCACTTTGCGTTAGTGCAAATCCACACCGAGAAGGTGGAAAGCACTCTAAGACTCACCCATTTCGATGAACAGCAGTATTTTTACAATGGCTCAATGCGATCTCGTCTACCGGTGCCACAGGATAGAAGCGTGTCTGTTTTGGCAATTTGTTCAGCAATCAATATTTTGCCCAAAGTTTGCGTAAGTGGGTTAAGACTGCGATGAATCCGCACAGAAATACGCTATTCCAGTGAGGTGGTCTTTACATTAGATTATTCATGGATCATCATTCTTCATTAGTTTTGGTAAAGATGTATGAATTACTTGACTGAGTATATCCACATGACATGAAGACCGATAAGCTACCGCTTTTTCCGAACACGTGTGCTGAATATTGTTAGGAAGAGAATTCGTTAAAAAATTCTTGGCCCATAAATAGCATAATATTTTTCATTGTTAAATGGATATTTAAAAACGAAAAAACCAACAAATCCACCGGATTCTCTCCAGAATTGTTTAACCTGTCTCCACCAAAAAATTACTCGCAGCAATCGCAATATTTTTCACGCTTTGAAGTTCAAAGGAGAGTACTTGTTGACTTCCGGCCACCTCCGTAACCATAGTGATATAAGCCCGATGTCACATCTTTGAGGTGCCAGGAGTTTGACATCAGGCACTTAAATATATTCCAAAGTCGGCAATCCTGTTAGTTTACGTTAAAATGTCCGCCTATTGCATAAAATCAGATATGCGCCATTAGAAGCATGTTATATGTGTATATGGCTCGAGGTCGCAATTAAACTCTAACTTCTATTAGTTTCATTCCAATCATTTCGCGACTGGGTGATAATTACCGAAAAGAATTATAACCCTTTGATTCACGTGGACGTTGCGTTTTCTGCGTTTTCAGGCAAGCCTCAATGCAGGGTGCATTTATTCAACATATTATTCGTGTGCAATTACAAATGTAAACGCCCGTCAGACGTCCACAAAGTGGCTAGAATCACCAAAATTTGGTGTGGAAGCATGCACTTTGAACAACGTTCGTTGAATGCCGTAGAATTTAGTGATACTACTACCTGTGTGGCGGTAGAAAAAAGCGTTAGAATAGTGTCTGTACTCAAACTGGTTTACTGAATAACTATAGGTTACTCAAAGATTCAAGTAAAATGTACGAACCAGAGCCGTTTAATAATTCCTGAAAATCATTCAGGTCCCATGGTATTCTGAGAACTTAGTGAAGGATGGAATTAACGGGGTCTGGTCTATATAAAGAGTTCGCAATGCTGTCAGGAGCTCAGGAACGTGTCTTGAAGCTGCACAATCAAATTTCCAAATACCGTCGAGAAACCCTCCCTGGAGTTCTGGCGAATAAACTTGCCTTGAGTTTATCTTTTGTCAACTAGTGCAGCCACGTTTCCGTTACATGCGGTCTTCTGTTTTTAGCGTTGAGGAATAAATCACTAGTTCGGTTTAAGATGTACGTACACTAAAACGATTTTTCGCTAACGTTTTGCTCCATACAGAAGAAATCTCAGCACTTGGCCGGTTAAAATTTTTAGTTCTGTAGACAAGGTGAAAATTTCCGAACTTCAAATACACTGATTAGAATTCACCAAAACCTATTTTTTCCACTGGTTTGGGGAACCGCATCACACTGTTGGAGCGAATTCGTTTGTGGTGTTTTGTTTATGTCGCAACCAATTGCTGTTCCCCTTAAATTCCATGTCCAGGAATGATTGGCGTTTTATAATTGCTTCGTTGCGTCCCAACCGCCAGGATGTTTCCTTTCGTGCAAGAACAATCCACTTCATCTCGACTCAGTAGTTTACTGTCTCGCTTTTTGACGATAACATTCAAGTTGCAATTGAAAGTCCCACAAACCGTTTGTCATTAGAAATAATTTGCTTGAGATGTTAGTATGTTTGCAGCTTCTCTTCTTAATTGTTGAATCCAGCTTTCCAAAAAAACAAGGTGCCCTTCTGTGATAAATTTTGGGCTATCGGTCACTT